GAAATAACCACGCCACCATCCATGCAGCCTGCCAAATGAGCCTGGGCATGATGAGAACTCACACTCACTTCACACAGGAAGGCATGTAATTGTAGCAGGACTAAGATGCAGTCAAGGCTTCAGCTTACTCAAAGGCAGATGTCTCTGCAGAGACTCTGAGATTTCCCCTACTGATCACAGCAGTATTCCTGTTTGTAGGTTGGCTTTGCACTGAGGAATGCACCAGTGATAGAGCTGGTCATTTCTGTTGTCTTAAGTAGCATCAAATAATTTTTCTTTTTTGTCCCTTCCTCGCAAATTTTCCCCTTCCTTTCCAAATGGCCTTGGCCCCGATTTGAACCATCAGCATTCCTGTACCTATGCAGTGTGCTACCATGCTCTCCCTAAATATCGGACCTCCTAGTGCCACCATCAGAGACAACGTACTGGATGAAGTGGACCACTGATCTGACATAGTTAGCTATGCAGTAACTGCATTACTTATATTCAATAGTGGCAGCCTGGAGTGGCAGAAGTTCTTTCATCTCAACTGCTTTCAATCTACAATGATTTTTAATGACATTCTTGCCAAAAGTGTATGCGTCTTTACCCAAAATTGCTATCTTTCCTTTTTTCGTCTCAGACCCAAAGGACTTCAGCTGAAAACCTGATTTTTAGGGAAGTCAAAGGTCACCACAGTGCTCACAGGAGGTGCATTTAGATGTCCTGTCCTCCTAGCCTCTATAGGCTGAGCTCTCCCCTCAGACAGCATCTCCCACAGTACACCTCTCAAAGTCACCCAGGGAGAAGTAGTCCCAAGCAGGAACTCCAGTTCAGAGAGAGCTGGAATGGAAGTCAGATGAGCTACATCCTTTAGGGACATTTCAAAGCTAAAATATTTCAGATTTAGTTGAAAGTGCTTGGATTTTTCACCCCAAACAACCCAATCTTTCCTGGGAAAGGAGGCAAGGGAGAGAGGAGGGAAAGAAACCTCTAAATGGGGAAACATCCTGTATACCTTCCCTCTACTCCTTTCACTGCAATGTGCCTTCTGTCATAAGCAAAGACCACCACCTAATCTAGTTTGTCCTCTTGAGTAACCCACTCCCTGTATTTGAGGAACCATATCACAGGCCTCTGTTGTATCTCCAAGTGGCACTTTGCATTCCACTCTGATGCTATGCTAAGCGGTAAACCAAGGGCTCGCTTCTCACTTCTCCAGACTGCCCTCCAGATACAAGGATCCAGAACGCTTAACTAACTTAACCAGACAGCAAGCCTATACAGGGGACTGTATTTTGCCTGCATGCAAAGATTTTGTCTTTGTTTTTAATGGACAATATTTGCCTGCTTGAACTTGAACTGGGGTGCAGCAGAGCTGTGTGTTGTTTCCCAGTATGTGCACTCCTCCATGGATAGAGAAATAGTCTCTACATAGACAGAATCTGAGTTTGTGCTGAAGGCTGCTACAGCAACTGTAATTCATGGTTACTGTTGGTGGGGCTTGTCGTTTCTCCTCATCAGTCAGCCCAGGGAAAGGAAACTCAGTCCATTGTCATCAGTGCACAGATCTTCTCTCTTGACTCACCCAGGCTGGTCAACAGGTGCATGACCTTGGCCCTTTCCTCCCCACCAGTCTATCCTACCTCAGTGGTCATTCTACTCTTATGTCTCAGTCTTGTTTTTCTTTGTGTAATATGGGTCTCTCCACAGGAAGATGTGTCGGGAGGCTCACTGCAGGATTAACTGCCTGGTTGCTTGACTGGTTCTTGAGAAGCAGCCCTAGAAAGGACAGATCGTCCTGAACGCTTGCAGGGTTAAATAATTGTAGTTTTGAGAGCTTTGGGGTGAGTCAGTGGAAAAAACTGGCAGCTCCAGGAAGGCTAAGACTGACTCATAGCCCAAGAAGAGCCTGAGGATCTCCAAATCCAGCTGCAGTTTAGGTAGGGGAATGGAAGAAAAGGCATTTGCATGCAATTGTGTCCTATTGCTCCAGCAATGTGACTCCACCCTGTAGCGGAGAAAGATGTCTCACAATTAACAAATGGAAAGAATATCCTGTCAGTCACCACGGCTCCGTCAGCGTCAGCTTCTGTTTAACGGGAAGAAAAGTCCATGCCGTACAGTCAGAGATAGCAATGCTCTATTTAAATGCCATTCTTTCACCCACTGCTTCTTCAGGATTATTATCTAGTGTTGTATTTAAAAGGTAGGGAGAGATGAAGGAAGAGGAAAGTGAATGAATAGAGAGGGAGGCTTGTGCTCTAAATCACAAGGAACCAAAACTAAGCTGTGAACATATATCCCCTGGGGAGTTTGCATTTGATAGCATGTGTATTCAGGGAGAGGTGCTGACGTTCTCAGGAAGTGGGTACACTGAAAGCAACCTGAACTAACAGTGCTCTCAAGTAGTGTAAGAACTGGGCAGAAAAAACAAAGGGAAAAGGGCTTCTGTTTTGGGTTTGTTTGGTTTTTTTACTGTACCGGTCAAAGTTCTTTTTTTTCTTTACATTGAAAGGTAACATTTTCCCTCATTTTCCTCTCTGAAGGCAAACAGAAGATGCATTTAAAAATGACTGTTCTAGTCCTTTAGGATGTCAGGAAAGTAGGTTTTTAGTCTTTCAAGTACAGGGCTTTTTTGAAGGTCAAAAATAATAAGCAAAAAAACCTGCTAAATTCTTTTTTTAAAGAGACTTGGAAAAATATGTCCATTCAGAAAAGGAAGAAAGTTCAGCCACTGCTGGCAAAGGCACAGGCAGGCAAATTGCCACAATTTGATGTATACATACCAACACACCATACCAGCAATAGCACTCCTTACAGCCTGCGTAAGAACAAAGGTAATTAGAAACAAGGATGACTAGTAGTTAAAGGAATGGGAGGATTCGACTCAGAGCCTCTACTCAAGGCACTTGCTAGAGATACATAATTTAGTCACGGTAACAGCAATAGCTTCTCATTTCAAGGTACAGTAGCACAGTGGAGGTACCAGAGCAGATGCCATCCAGTATTTTGAAACCCTGGTTCCTTTTGCAGTCAGTGGAGAGAAAGGGTTTGATGCTTATGTCAGATGGGTTTATAAGGCAGCCTGTGCGTAGTCCTGAGAGCCTGTTTTTTAGCATAGCTGAACACCCAAATGACTCTCACTACAATGAGAGAGGATCTCCTAAGAAGGCTGTACTTCCCTCAAGATCAAAACTAAGGGAGACACATGCTCCAGTTCCTGTGACAAGAGAAGCTGCCATCAGTGTCCAGGCCAGCTAGGAACATTAAGCCCTACAGTATGAGGAGTTTGCTAGGACATCCCAAAGCAGACAAGCAAGCCAGGCCCGCATTCAGCAAGCCAGGGCTACTCAGCTCTAGAGAGATCTCCCAAGTGAAGGAAACCTTATGGTTGCCAAGTTCTTGCTGAAGAGATGGGACCAAGCACCAGACCTAATCTGTGCTTTAAAGAATGATTTTACCTGAGGAGGAGGAAGTGACCTAACAAGAGTTGTTTCCCAGGGCTCCTGAACTCTAGGAATTTCACTTGCTTATTAGCTAATGATGAATTCGGACAAAGAACCACTGATGGAGAAGCCTGCCTACACCCTGAGGTTTGGGAAATATGCATCCAGAGCAGGGAAAGGAACAGCAACAGCAATTTACAGGAATATGCCCCCATACATGGCCACAATGAGAGGAAAGAGAGTGGAGAAGGTGGAGTCAGTGAGTAAGAGAAAAAACATTTATGGGATTTCACAAAGCTTTTTGTCACAGGCTTCATGAAAGACATCATAAAATGTAATTGTGCTGTTCCATGACAATGTCACCACACCCTATAAAAAAGGTGACAGCATCAAACTCTATCTGAGTCACCCGGAACAAAATAACTTGACAGGCAACATTAATCAAACATTTGATATTGCTCTTCAGTTCTACCAAGAGATAGGGCAAAGCAGTGTTTTGAACTTTCTAGGAAGCAGTCTTTCACTGGCCACAGAGCGGACCTTGAAATCTTTTCTGCTTTATTTCTGTGGTTCTATTGCCCAGACACTACTAAATGCCTGGAAGGAGGGGAAACACGTTCTCTCACTTTGTGTGAAGTGCCTGCACTCATTCTCACACCTTAGACTTTGTTCCTTGTAGTTCGTAGCTTCAGGGGAGAGCTCAACAGCCCTGATGAACAGTGTCATAAAAGCTATGCAAAATGCATTCCCCTCCCCCAGATGCCTTGTCTTTCCAATCACGTGCTCATAAGTGACAGGAAATCTTACAAAAAGCTTTACCCTGTAAAAGCTTGCAGGGTACAGAGGCAAAAACCAAAAAAGAATTTGCATTACAAGAGAATCTTATTGCAGTAATAAAGTGATCTGAATGCCTCAAGTTTTAAAAGGGAAGCTGAGGCAGTTTTCATTACAAACCTTAGCAATCATCTTCCTCTACCCCAGAACACCTCAGTGGCTTTTCTGTTCTGGTTATTCTTCTCATCACATACCAGAGCAGGCTGTTGTGTATAGGTAGTCCCCTAATCCATTCTCCATCACTACTCAGCACCTGATGTACCCAAGAAACAAGCATTCTTCCACTTTACAACCCCACCAATGTCCCAGATCAGCTGGAGGAAGGAAAGGGAGAGTAGGAAGAGAAAATCTTGCCTGACCTCTGTGAGTCCTGTGGGCAAACAACTCCATTTCCTGGAGTGTAGGCCTGGAGTATGTCATTTTTTACATAACCACACACCAATTTAAGCAACCTATCTATATACTCAGGCTATTTTTAAAATGTCCCCAAGCTAACTACCCCTGTTCTATATCTCCTCCCAGACTGGTTCCTTTACCTCCAAGCTTTCTTTAACCATTTGAGCAATTCCCTTGCAGATTTTGATAAAGGTTTTTGTTATGTATTTTTCGTGACTGCATGCTTCCAGAATGGATTTGAGACCAACTTGTTTTCTCACATGTAAATAAAGCTTATAGTAATGCTATTCTTCAGTCCAGCCCTTCCCTTCATCTTCTCCCTCTGTACTTGTTCTCCTCCAGAACTCCCTGCCTGTGTGATACCACCTAGGAAGGACCCAAGATGTTGGTGCTACTGGCTGGTATCTTTGTGGTCCACATTGCCACTGTCATCATGCTCTTCGTCTCCACCATTGCCAATGTAAGTAATGACTACCTTGAACGAGACAGTGGGAGCCACTGTAGCTTCCTGTAGCAATAGCTCTTTATACCGTGGGCTGTTAGGTGCTGCTAATTACAGACTAGGGACAACCACTTACAACAAAGAATAAATAAAAAGTGGTGAGTCAAGGGCATGCTTGGAGAGCAAAAAGGGGCAGAATTCACCAGGACCTTGTACCAACCCGATCTAGGCTGCCCCCCCACCAGCCCAGGCGCTTCTGATGAGACGACTTGGTTTAAGCCTTCAGCTTCGGGAGCCCGCGTGTGGACGCTGTGGCGGGGAAGGGCAAGCATGAGTGCGTGCAGCTCGGCCACTGCGCCCAGGCAGAAAGGCAGCTCCTGCCTGCCGTTCCTACCCCCCTATCCCAGGATCGGCAGCACCTGAGCACTCCTTGCACAAGAGAGAGATGAGCACAGAAGATTAGCAGATGATAGTTTTGAACTGATATTTATCACTCCATCTGGCAGCCAGTCTGTTACATAATTATACAGTCTCCTATGCCTGTCTGCTTTTGTGGTAGTAGTTTGCTCGCAGGAGCTACTCAGGCAGCCATAAGCACACCTCTTAATATTATTCCTTGCCATTACTTAGGAAACCCCTGCAGCCAAAACAAGAGAGGGACGGCTGAGGAATCGGGCCGCCCCGCCTGGGCCCT